AGTTAAATAATTGTTGCGTGTCAACAAACAACGGCTCTCAAACCTCCACAGATACAGTACATCAGGGTCATTGTGCTGTGTGCAGTAAAAACAAAACTACAAAATAATATAGCTATAAAATTAAATTACTCACAGAAACACATAACCTGAATGGTTTAGTTATTTTTCTTTAGGGTACATTATCTGATCAATACATTAGATATACCATATATAGAGATCATGAACTATAAGACTACAATAAGAACAAAAACAAACAAAACAATGTAGTGCCAAGATATACAAACTGGCTGGATTAAAGGTCTCTTTCTGGGCTAAATAGAACTGAAAGTCTCAGTTGTTGGAGCACAATGACAGCTAATAGCAACCATTAACCAGTGCTGGTGCTAAAAAAAGGCTAAATAAATGCTAGTCATGCCTGAGTCTGACATTACTTAAAGGTCCAGTGTGTAACATTTAGGAATATGAGAAAAATTGTGTTTCTGTAGACTACAAAAAACATATTTAGGCATGTAAAATCATTGAATTTAAAGCATGTTATTCTGAAGTCATGTGTTTTTTGGTGTGTAGGGTTCTGAGAAAATGAGCTATGCTTTCAGAAAACATCTGTAAACAACTGAGAAAAACTGTGATACACAGGTATATTTTGCATTGGGCAAAATAGAGATTCCTCTCCAGCAGTAAAACTGTTATGTAGGTTGACACTGTCCCAACCATATACTGTAATATACTGAAGTATTTCCTAAAATGTCAGTATGAACTCGTAGGTTAATGTGCAACAGAACAAACTGTCTTTCTGTGGACTGAGGGAACACTATGTGAAAAAAGCTGTGTGGTTTTCTTTGGTAGTGAGTGTGTTAGTGTGTCATTCAAAAAGAAAGGAATTTTATCTCTTTGAACATCTGCCACCAACTGAATTAGATACCCTTAAACTGTACTAAACTATAGTTTGTCATTCGATACCTTCACTGCCCACTTTTTACTTTACAATGCATGAAAACATTTAACACTAAAGTCTATAATGTTTGGATTTTGTAATTGCAGAATGTAATGAGTGGCCTCTCTGATCGGTAGAAGCATTTATACAACCTGCTTATGGAGTAACAAGGTCCCTAAAGATCATGATTTAAAAAAAAGTATTGATTGTATTTTGTTCCCACATCTATTTTACAGAGATGGCTTACAGGTAAACATTAAAGGGGAAATAGAAGGAAGCACCATAATGCTGAGCAGTAGTTTTATTTTTAAGGGTCATTTCATACACATTACAAAAGACATCAGCCCTAGCCCCGCAGAGCGTTTACATTTTACATGCCCAGCTTGTCAAATACCAGAGATCTCTGCCAGAGAATAGAGCCAGTTATTGTGCTCAGCTCAAATAACTTGCTAATAATAACAGTATAATATTATTATTATAACAACTCAACAGATAATGAATCCCCAACAGTAGTCTGTCTGCAACTCACTTTTTTCTCATTTTATATTTTATTCTTTTGAATGTTTAATCCACTTGTGTAGAATGTGTGGAATATCTCAAAGTCTTCCTACTGCAGTCATTATTATTTGTAGGAAAATGACACAGTTCCCCGTCTAAAACTGTGGTGTGTTATTACCCCTTGGTGGCGCTAGAGTCGGAAATGTTCAAACTCTACCCAGTTGGGACAAACCTTTAAATTCAATGGGTCAACTTTTAGACAAAACAAGACAAAGAGTCTCGGTAGTCAACCCATAATATTTAAAATAACTCACATAACAAAGCCGAATAAGGTCAAACTACAAGACAAAACACATGTTAACAGAGGGAATGATGACTGTTGTAAGAGCAGCTCACTGTTGTCGTTATTGATCTGATCTGCTGCAGCAGAGCCTCGGTTCATTATAGTGTTTTACATTAATTGTATTGATCGCCATCATCTGTGTCAATTACCAGCAGCTCTCTTTCAAACTGAAGTTTATGACAGTATCAAAGTCCATTTGGCTCAGAGGATCGGGTATAAGTGGTCTGCGGCGCTCTGTCACTGCAGACAAGGAGCCATTATTATCACCGTCCACATCACAAAGACACAGGCTGGGACCGTCTCGCTCGTTTGGAGCTCACATCCCGCAGAAAAACAGACCCTTTATGCGGTTAAAATGTTCAGGAAATCTCTGCTAAACATCGGACTGCGAGTGAACCGTCCGCAACATGAGGTCCTTCAGAGAGCGACGGCGAATTACGGGGACACGATGCGCCGCCGAGACGCGTCCTCCGCCACAGTGATGGGTGACAACGTTAAACTGAAAACTATGGACGATTTAGGCGGACCAAGTTTTTTGACCACCTTGAACTGGCTCTTTGTGAAGGGCTATTTCCAGACGACGCAACAAATGCAAGTAAGTGGGGATTAGAAGGAGTGCCTCTGGTATGGACCGGACTGGTACATGCAGTCAGACTTGTGTTGCTGATCCGGTTGTTTGTGTTTTATCTGACCTATAGTGCACCCGATCACTGCATTGTAAGGTTAATCAGGTTTAATAAGGCTACTGGAGGGTCTATATAGCCTTCAGTAAAGGCTCAGTTCCCCACATTCTATAAAAAAACTTGTGTTATGCGATCTATGCAGACAGTTTTGGGTTTATGCGCATATACCGTACATTTTATTCGCACTGCTGGCAGACTACATTTTACAAATTCAACTGTTACATCTCTCTCCAGAAAAAGTGCCCCTGTGTTACCCCTGATCATCCACAGAGCTCACTGTGAACACAGTCAGGTTTATTGCCAAGTAGGTTTTCACACACCAGGAATTGGGCCTGATATTGGTGCATAACAATAAACATAGTAGCCTACTGGAAAACATGAAGATGAAAGCGAGTACTGCCAAGTCAAGAAGCATGAATAGAAGAGTAGAATTGACAATAACTGATGACAATAAATAAAAAGCATACAAATAAGTACTTCAGTAGAAAGTTGAACAGTCATAGCTAGGTTTAACCCTTAGATGCATAAGTGGGTCTAAAGTGACCCGGGGAGGTCGTTTTCTTGCAATATCTAATACCAAAAATCGTAATTTGAAACAATGTATACCAAACGGTAAGTTAAATTGAAATGGCAATTAAATAATCAGATAAAACATGTTTTTTGAGGAATACCCTGGAATATAAAAACGATAACAACTTTTCATTACAAAGA